CTATCTGTAAGATTACCTGCTGGATTGCTTGGCTTCTTCTGGGAAGGATCGATTTCTGGCTCCACCACCACCACTCCTGTTCCACCCCACCACAAAACGATGGCTGTGCATGTGTGCGAATATGTGCAATTCGCCAACAAAAGTACAGTTTCAGGGAAGTGCATGTCTTCAATTTGCTATCTCTCCTCAACTTGCTTTTCTCTTTTACTTTCCCTTCCCCTTTTTTTAGTCCTCTAGTATCTTCTCCCGTCTGTCCTTGACCACATGTAAAACAGCTTCCATCAAAGCAGGATCAGTCAGCGCCTTGTAGAAATCACTAGGGTTTAGTCTCTACCAAAAACAACCTCTGGTTCATGGACATTCAGCTGCAGGGCAGCCTGACAGTTGAAACCAGGTCCTCTTCTCACAGTATTTCTCATTACCCCATTCCTTTGTGCAATAAGGTTGGCTCTTCAGATTATGACCGACATGGGGAGTGATGTATGCATGGTTCTCAGTTTCTTTATCAGACTCCTGCTCAGTCTCATGCTGGCTGTCTCAGTGAATGAATGACAAAAACATCTCTGAAGCAGATGGCAACATGAGCCTGATTCAAGTCAATGATATCAGCTAAGAAGGCCTTACAAGAGTGAAGTCCTGAAATTGGACATTTTAGCCACTAAGGAAGTTCTCTCATCTTTCTACATTTATTGACATTTGAGCTTATACCTGCTGCTCTTTTCTTTTCCGTAGTTCTACTTTTCCATACAGTCAAACCTTCACCAGATTCACCAGATTATAAGGTTTGGTTATTAGGGTTTGGTTAAGATGAGTCCTTTCTGAAGCATTATCATCTATTTGAAACACCCAAATGAAAAAACTTACAAATTTGTTTCTAGTGTAGCAACATTAACGCTTACAGCAGTAAAGTCACAACATGAATTGAATACAGCAAAGTGAAACCTACCCTCTTAACACTGATCAAAATAAAACTGCTCAATGACAAAACAAAGAACCTCTAAATTTTTAAGGAGCTTTGACAGAAAGCTACTGGGCTTCTTTACGTTTTGTGAAGAAGTTTCACCTCTTATCCAAGATGCTTCTTCAGTTCTAAGAGTGCCAGGTATTTAAACCCCAGTGGGATTGTTCCGTAAGAGTATTAATTGTGCACTTAAACACATGAGCCAAGGTGTGAAAAAAGACCTGGATTAATATCGCCAGAGGTTTCGGGTAAAACCATAGTGACACTTTGAGTGAGGCCTCCCCTATCATGTTGACCTATTGAGGTCAAAATTGCAATGTAGGTGGCAGACGCCTGGTGTCGTAAGCCACCCCCTCTTTTTAAAAAATGGTGATTCACAGGACATAGATGGCCATTCGTGATATTTTATATACTAACTATGCTACATACAGACAACTTTCCATTTAGTTTGTCCATAGCAACTCATATTAACCTTACAAGCACACATTAGTTGTTTAAAACAACTGAATGAGAACACTGAGCTATTTTTATACAGTTTTCAGCTTTATTAATGTGTAAGCAAGGATCAAATGCTTTGATTCCACCTACGTCATTTGTATCAGCAGTAGTTCACTTAGGTTTACTTTTTCCCCTCACATTGCCACATCTTTGTTGCCTTTTGTGCATTGGTGTAAGTCTCACCAAAGAGGGCTAAATATAAGTGGTCAAATGTTCATATGATGTGCCCTGCTTTCAAATGAAAAGATTTTTCCTATTCATTATGTTTCAGGAACTTGTTTATGATGTGTATTTCATGCATGTTCATTTTGCCATGGCAATGAAAATATGATTAATCTGTAAGTGCTATTTATCAAAGTAACACTTATTTTGACAAAGTAAACCATTTAAATCTACATTTCTTTCAAGGCTGCTTTCTGTGTATGTGTAACGTTGGTAGGGTCGGTGTATTCTCTGCAGGACTTTTATCTTATTATGATAGAACAACACATGATGATGATGCCGAGAGTAACAAAGTTCACAAACGGCGAGCACAAAGGCTTGTTTACCCTTCCCTCCTGAGCTCACGGTCATACATCCTTTTAAATGAAGGTCCTTTTTCACCTTTCACTCAACAAAAAACAAACAATAACAACAAACTCTACACCCACTCAATGCTCTGAAAATGAGTAGTTTAGTGTGTAGTTGTTAGGATCTGTCAATTAAGTTGTAATTGATTGTTGTTACCCTCTCATTGATTTCTAAGTATACTTTTTCATTTGCTATGGTTGGACAGACTGTTGTGGCTACAATACAGATAACAGAGTTGTTCCCCGCCTCTCTCTTCTAATACTGCTTTCTGTCTGTCCTTGAAAGGAGCATGCCTAAAAGCTGCTGGAATATAACAGCAGAAGCATGGTAAACTAAATGGGTACAACCACAACCAGCCATTCTCTCAGATTGGTTTTTTTTGTGCTTGGCCTTTTTTTGCAATAAACTGTTGGGTGGGATTTGGGGAAGCAAACAAAATGACACATTAAAAAACAAAATCTCCCTGTCTCCCTCTGGTTTCATATCTAAAGATATCTAGATATCACATTTTGCACATTCTTTTGCAAAACAAATTTGAAATCAGTATTAAAATTTGTACTGTACTGTACAAAAATCTCAAACTTTAGCCTAAGAGGATCACAATGATGTGACTAATGCCAGACTGCACTAGAGTACACACACACACACACACACACACACACACGCACACACACACACACATTTATGAGAGATTTGAGTTAGGCGTACCCCCTGAATATTTCTGGCTGCAGGCTTTGGGAAATGACTGGCAATAATGGTTATTATTATTAGTTATTTTTGCCTTAACATACAAAACTCGAACAGTTCTCTACTGCCAGGAAATAAAAAAGCTTTTCCAGTGGGGCGCAGTGCATAATCGGAAATTATGGACTATGTAATACAACATACATTATAGCATAGAAAATGTTATCTGGGATTATACAGACTCAGTATATACTGTACAAGTACATAGACAAACTAAATTAGCTGTGGCTGACATGAAAAAAAGTTATGAAATACGTTACAGTGCGACAAATTTTAGAGTAGACTGTCTCTCCCCACTGTGCTCTGACCAGAATTACAGCAGTCAATGCACAATAATGTGGAAATGTAATTTTTACCATTCAGTGACCAGGCCTGCATTGCAGCGTGCATTAAATCACCAATTAAAGCACCCATAGTCAGTTTTAAGAGCGTAGCGATCATCTTTCCATTGGTTTAATTAGGCTAATTAATTGCTATTTGAAACATTGCTCAATGTAATTACATTTAATCAAGGGGTGACCTATTAGATGGCGAGAATCATAATGTTGTGAAGAAGACCTTTCTCCTGGTTACTTAAGCTTGACTGACTCTTGATGAAAAGAAGAGCTGGTATTTTAATTCATATTGTAGATGTAGTTAGACCAGACTAAAATAAAACAAACAAAGGCCTACTTCTGAAAAAAATCAAAGGAATAGTTCATTATTGCAAAGGCACATTTTTGCAGTCTTTCACAGTCAAAATACGTCTGTGCAAAAATTCATTCACTAAAAATTGGAGGTATATCAGAAAACATCAGCTTACATCAGTTCTCATTTATAATGCCCCATCTTTAGACCACTTGAATTACCTAAAACGGAGGGAAGTTCCTTCCCTTTAAGGGGTCATTACTATTTTGTGTTAGATAGTGGATGAACTAAGCTGCACCAAGGCCCAGTATAAGAAGTTGGGGTTCATTTGAACTATGAATTGTGCACAGGTACTCTAATAGAGCCTAAGAAAAAATATGGAGTCGAAAACATAAATAAGATTCCTTTAAAAGATCACAGACCATCATTCTTCTGAGGGAATTTAACCACCCTGTCTGGACATTATGCAACTGATGAGACAGGCAAAACAAAACTGAACATGACGCACACAGGACAAATGACTATCAGAATAAAGCAGGAAACAAACAGAGGCCAGTCACAGGAAAACGTAAAACACACAGACTCGGACTGACTGAATACAGGGAACGGGAGACAAGACTAGCAAGACAGAATGAGGACAGAGAAACAGAGAAACCAGACAGACAAAAAAAGAACAAAAACTAGACACACCAATGAAGTCGGTGTCAGAAATGCACAAATCCATGATGTTGTAAATAAATGTTTTAAGTCATTTCTAATTTTTAAAGACTAGTCTCATTTTTGTCCAGAGTGGATGCCCATGAAAACATACCCAGTCCAGACTTCTAGTTTGATACTACACAATAACCAAATATCCCAACTGGGAAGTGTTAAACTCGAAATTTTCAAACAATCTCTTATTTTCATGAGGATGAAAATAATTACGACAAAGAATCTTTCCAAATTTGGCTGGGCAAATAGAAAATAACACACAATAAGCCAGCTTTTAGAATAAAGATGATAAACATGCAGAATATTCAGGCCTAGGCTACAGTACATCAGCCAAATCCACATTTTATACCCAATGATGGCAGACCACCATGTAACATGAGAGAGGAGATTGCTGTGATGAAAATCACTGCAAAATGGTATCTGCAAACCACAAAGTACAAGACCCAGAACCACTGGCTTCACCTGCAGATAAAGTACTGCAGAGAAAATGTACAAAAAGCCATTCAAGAGCTTTAAGAACAGCTGGGAGAGGCTCGCAGGAGCAGACCCGAGTCTAACACTGAGGAGAACTTCACCCCTGAGGTGACTAAAGCTTCTGTTGAATACAGCAAGACAGCTAACACCACTGCAGAGCTGAGTCTGGAGAGCTCAACACAAACAGCAGAAGCTCCACACACAGACTCCACAGAGCTGGAAACAACTAAGAAGCAGCATGAGGAGATCGAACAATTCTCAAAACTCAAAAACATCTGGTAGAGAAAGAAGAGAGAATCCGCTGTGAGATCGCAGAGCTCAAAGCCAAACTCTGCGCCACTGAGGCCCTGAGTGAAAAAAGGATTTGAAGACACAGAACTTGAAACAAGAGCTGGAAAAGACCAAAGCTTCCTACCTGGAACTTGTAGAGAAGCAAAAATAGGAGAACGCAAACATCACAGAGAAACAGACGTAGAAAAGATCGTACTGTGGCAGACTTTGCAGTCTCTACAAGAGACAAGAAAAAAACAAGAAACAAAGGCCAGCATTACTGAATTAGAAAATCCTCAGGACCAAAATAAGACAGGACAGGAGCCAATAGCAGAAAAACAAGCAAAAGTGGGGAAGCAAAGAAAAAGAAAAAACCCCAAAAGAAAATGAAGCACATTGACAAAATGAAGTTTTTCCTCCCCACTGTCACCCAAGTGCTTGCACACAG